CCATGCTGAATATTGGCTATAATATGTAACCGGCAAGCGAGACATGTCTTCATTTTTATAGCATCTTGGTCGCTTCGATTTGTGTATGAATAAGAGAGGCAATTTGCACGTCCCTGAGGCATTGGCACAGCCCATGATGTAACCCTGTCCTTTGATTTTTTAAAGTTTTTCGCATTTTTTTTGTTTCGTAAAACCAACGAACGATTAGGCATTAGCCGCCACTAAAGACCTGTCTCATCGGCGTTAAAAATTTGATATCTGGTCAACTGATTTTCCTCAATGATGCCTTCAAGTTTGGTTTTGACCGGGTCAATCGACTTAACATCAGCTGATAGTGATTCCCCTTGAAGTGTCGTCCATTGAATTCCATGTCGCGCTTTGAAATTATCTAAACATCCACCGCTAGCCAGAAAGTTTTGGCCAGGGCAAAATTGTTCGGCAAAGAACAAAGCCTTCTCTCTTAACAACGGTCCCTGAACAGACACTCCTTTAGCCCTATGTTGCTCCATCCACGTGTACATAGCCGCGTCTACTTTATCGAAGATTGGTGTTTTCACATACGAAGATTTTCTTGCTTTAGCAGGGTTTTCGTTTACTAAAATGTGTCTTAGTATTTTCTCTCTGTTTTTCCATATGGTCGCTACCGTAGAAAGTCCAAAACGTTTTCAAATCGCTAAATTGGACTCGTGGTTCAAATCTAATGTTCAATAATCAACGTTCAGTAATCCAATCAATGTTCAATCAACGCTTGCATTTTTTTTTAGTTACTGTGCAAACCTACAGCTTTTTTAGACTCAACTTTTTAACATTGTCACTTTTTGCACAAAAGTGCTTATCTCGCCGAGTTGAGCACTTAGTGCAAATTTTTGACTTTCCGCCATATTTCGAGTACTTTTCCGAAAACCTTCAAACTTTCAATGGAATAATGTTTGTTTCAGGCTATCTCACTTTGCCTAACAAAAAAAAAAATTAAATTTTGACTCAACTTTTTAACAGTATCACTTTTTGCACAAAAGTGCTTATCTCGCCGAGTTGAGCACTTAGTGCAAATTTTTGACTTTCCGCCATATTTCGAGTACTTTTCAGAAAAACTTCAAACTTTCAATAGAATAGTGTTTGTTTCAGGCAATCTCACTTTGCCTAACAAAAAAAAAATTACATTTTGACTCAACTTTTTAACATTGTCACTTTTTGCACAAAAGTGCTTATCTCGCCGAGTTGAGGACTTAGTACAAATTTTTGACTTTCCGCCATATTTCGAGTACTTTTCAGAAAAACTTCAAACTTTCAATGGAATAGTGTTTGTTTAGGGCTATCTCACTTTGCCTAACAAAAAAAATTACATTTTGACTTAACTTTTTAACATTGTCACTTTTTGCAAAAAAGTGCTTATCTCGCCGTGTAGAGCACTTAGTGCAAATTTTTGACTTTCCGCCATATTTCGAGTACTTTTCCGAAAAACTTCAAACTTTCAATGGAATAGTGTTTGTTTCAGGCTATCTCAGCATGCCTAACAAAAAAAATTACATTTTGACTCAACTTTTTAACATTGTCACTTTTTGCACAAAAGTGCTTATCTCGCCGAGTTGAGCACTTAGTGCAAATTTTTGACTTTCCGCCATATTTCGAGTACTTTTCGGAAAACCTTCAAACTTTCAATGGAATAGTGTTTGTTTCAGGCTATCTCACCGTGCCTAACAAAAAAAAAATAACATTTTGACTCAACTTTTTAACATTGTTACTTTTTGCACAAAAGTGCTTATCTCGCCGAGTTGAGCACTTAGTGCAAATATTTGACTTTCAGCCATATTTCGAGTACTTTTCCGAAAAACTTCAAACTTTCAATGGAATAGTGTTTGTTTCAGGCTATCTCACCGTGCTTACAAAAAAATTACATTTTGACTCAACTTTTTAACATTGTCACTTTTTGCACAAAAGTGCTTATCTCGCCGAGTTGAGCACTTAGTGCAAATATTTGACTTTCCGCCATATTTCGAGTACTTTTCCG